CCTGCCTCAGCCTCCTGAGTAGCTGGGATTACAGGCACGCGCCACCATGCCCAGCTAATGTTTTGTATTTTTAGTAGAGACGGGGTTTCGCTATGTTGACCAGGATGGTCTCGATCTCTTGACCTCGTGATCCACCCGCCTCGGCCTCCCAAAGTGCTGGGATTACAGGCTTGAGCCACTGCGCCCGGCCTCTCCAACCCCTTTCTAATAAACCTAATCAGAATCTGTTTGCAAGTTCAGTATTCTGTAGTTACTATGTATATATTTTTCCATACTCCACTGTCTGCCTACCCCTTGGTGGGCCCTTAAAATCTAGAAATAAATCAGTGAGCCTCAGTGAGCCCACAGTTACAATGAATGCCTGCTATGTGCCAGGAACTGTGTAGACACTTTTTTTTTTTTTTTTTTTTTAATGGGGGGTTTTTTTTTTTTTTTTTTGAGATGGAGGTTTGCTTTTTTTGCCCAAGCTGGAGTGCAGTGGCACAGTCTCGGTTCACTGCAACCTCTGCCTCCAAGGTTCAAGTGATTCTCCTTCCTCAGTCTTTCAAGTGGCTAGGATTACAGGCACACACCACTAAGCCTGGCTAATTTTTTGTATTTTTAATAGATACAGGGTTTTACCATGTTTGTCAGGCTGGTCTCAAACTCCTGACCTCAGGTGATTCGCCTGCCTTGGCCTCCCAAAGGGCTGGGATTACAGGCGTGAGCCGCTACAACTGGCTGTAAAGACACTTTCAAATGTTACCTCGAATCTTCACCAAACAAACAGCTTTATCCTACGTACAGTGGAAGACACCAAGTTTCAGAGAGGTCAAGTAACATGGCTAAGGTCCCATATCACACAGCAAGTGGGTGGCAAAGCTGGGACTCCTCCCTGGGCTGGCTTCCAATGGAGAAGCATAACTGGACGGAACAGGACAGAGGAACACAAAAGTTCTTGGCTGGAAGATCTCGGCTCTTTCTAAGCTAAGTTATCAGGAAAGGTCAGAGACTCCATTTCCCTCCTTGTAGTCTGTCTCCTGCAGGTGCTAATCCTACAGCCTATTCCATTTCTTTTTTTTTTCTTTTTTTGAGATGAAGTTTCGCTCTTTGTTGCTCAGGCTGGAGGGCAGTGGTGCGATCTGCAACCTTGGCCTCCTATGTTTAAACAATTATCTTGTCTCAGCCTCCCGAGTAGCTGGAATTACAGGCACACTCCACCACACCCAGCTAATTTTTGGTTTTTTTTGTTTGTTTGTTTGAGATGGAGTCTCGCTCTGTCCCCCAGGCTGGAGTGCAATGGCACGATTTCTGTTCACTCCAACCTCAGCTTCTTGGGTTCTAGCAATTCTCTTGCCTCAGCCTCCCAAGTAGCTGGGATTACAGGCGCCCACCACCACATCTGGCTAATTTTGTATTTTTAGTAGAGATGGGGTTTCACCATATTGGTCAGGCTGGTCTCGAACTCATGACCTCAGGTGATCTACCCGCCTCAGCCTCCCAAAGTGAAAGTGCTGGGATTACAGGCATGAGCCACTGCGCCTGGCCTGTTTCTTTCTTTCTTTCTTTTTTTTTTTTTTTTGAGGCAGAGTTTTGCTCTTGTCACCCAGGCTGGATTGCAATGGTGTGATCTCTGCTCACTGCAACCTCTGACTTTCGGAGTTCAGGCAGTTCTCCTGCCACAGCCTCCTGGGATTACAGGCATCTGCTACCACACCTGGCTTATTTTTGTATTTTTAGTAGAAACAGCATTTCACCATGTTGGCCAGGTTGGTCTTGAACTCCTGACCTCAGATGATCAACTCGCCTCAGCCTCCCAAAGTGCTGGGATTACAAGCCTGAGCCACTGCGCCCAGCCAGTGCTACAGACTATTCTGAATTACCCTGTGGCGGGGCATGGTGGCTCACACCTGTAATCCCAGCACTTTGGGAGGCCAAGAAGGATGGACCACTTGAGGTCAGAGGTTCGAGACCAGCCTGACCAACATGGTGAAATCAGGAGGCAGAGGTTGTGGTGAGCCGAGATTGTGGCATTGCGCTCCAGCCTGGGCAACAGAGTGTAACTCCATCTCAAAAATAAAGTAAAATAGACCAAGCACAGTGGCTCACCCCTGTAATCCCAGCACTTTGGGAGGCCGATGTAGGTGGATCACCTTAGGTCAGGTGTTCGAGACCAGCCTGGCTGACATGGCGAATCTCCATCTCTACTAAATTAATAAATACAAAAAATTAGCCAGGTATGGTGGCAGGCACCTGTA